AATCAAGTGTTGCGAAAAGGGAAGTTAGGGGTAAGTTTTTTTATTTTACGCAAGCTCTATTCAACATGTGATAGTGAAAAGTGACTTTTATGTCACTTTTAGGGTGTTTATTGAGTCTCTTTCCGGCTTATTTTACAATAATTTATCCCATTTTGTTCTTTATTTCTTTTATTCGCTTATTTTCTTATTTTCCTTATTCGTTCTCTATTTTGAGTATTTTTGCATTTTTATTAGTTTTTAGTTTATTTTTGTAGTTTTAGTTAATAATTTCCCTCTTTTCTCGTTTTATTTATTTTCTTTTAGTTTCTAGTTTGTTTTATTTTATTTTATTTTATTTTATTTCATTTTATTTTATTATTTCTTTAGTTTAGCATTTTATTTTACTTTATTTATCTTGTTTTATTTTATTTTATTTTATTTTAGTTTTTGTCCCTATTTCTCTCGGTTTTCTTGGTTTGTGTAGGAATGTGCTCGGAGGTCTAAGGTTCGAGGTTCAATATACGTGTCTCAAGTTTTGAGTCATAAATGGAGTCTCGAATCCAAGCCATACATCATTCACAAGCTGCTGCCCCTAACCAACATACTGCTGCCAGCTTATTATACACCCCACCATCACCTAAACCTACACCACACACTCTTCACCTCACTTCTCCTGCTCCCAGTTTCCTCACGTATTCCCATACCTCCAATCACCACACAATCCACCAGCCTCCTACCGCAGCACTACCTAGCCACACAACATCTACCGCCACCCTCACTTAACCACCATTTGCAACCTCACGCACCTAGAAACACCAAATTAAAAACCAATTAACCACCATTTCACACCGCCCTGAACCACCAACAACAACCAGCCTCAACAAATCACCACAATCCCCTGCTCCCACAGCACCGCAACCACCGTCAACCACCAAAACAACAATTGCAGCAACAGCCGCACACAACAACCCAGCCACACCTCCCATTTCGCCATCAATTACCCCCTTCAATTCGAATCCAGCAGCCACCCAAACCACCTGAACCACCAACACCCCGCAACAACCAATCCTCTGATTTCCCTCTCCTCTTCTCACCTCACGCAACCATTAATTACTAACCCAATCAACTCCAACCACCTGAACCACCAATCACACCCCGTAACAACCACCAGCCCTTCACCCACAATCGACCACCAAACTCCAACCCAATTACTCACTAATTAAGCCACGCAATTCGCCCAACACCCAAACTCACTGAGCAGCCAATTCGCAACCGCGCAGCCCTGTCAGAAAGCGCACAAATTGGAGCCCAAAATCGAGTTGAGGTAGTAAGTTTGCGCGACTTCTGTGCGGGCGCGCAAATGTGGGTCAATCACGAGCTTTTCACGTGATTTTAATGAAAATCGGATGGCCAAGATTTGATGCTTGATGATGATGATGATGATTTACGGTTAAGATCATTGTTTGGATGATGGTTGATGGGAGAATGAGTGCAGCCATTTTCGAGGAGGGAGAAGTCTGGTGGAAATCGTGGGTTTGGGTGGGAATTTTGGGGGTTTTTTGGGTTTATTTCTCCATTTCTTTTTCTTTTATTTTATTTTCTTTTAGTTTTGTTTTTTGTATTTAGTTTTAATTAGTTTCTTTCATTTTATTTTTATTTTTATTTAACTTGTATTATAAATACCCCTTTGGGGTTATTTTCTCATAACTTTCAATTAACATTTTATTTTAGATAGAATAGATTAGTTTAGCATATATTTTCTCTCTCTTAGGGTTAGTTTTAGGAGTAGTGTAGAGAGATAAAGCTTGGATTTCCATGGAGTTTTTTAGAGGTTGAAGAAGAAACTTTGTGGAACTTCTTCTCATCTATTCAATGTGCATTTTCTAACTTTCACTCATCTTTATTTCTTTGCTTAATTCTTAGTTTTTTTTTTATTTTTGTTTGTTGATTTGAGTAGATTAATTAGTTTGTTTGTTTAATCTTGTTTTTAATTCTTATTTTACCTTGTTTTCTATGTCTTTCTTCATTATGTTAGCATAGGTCTTGTTCTAGGGAATTGGATGAAGGTTATATTAATGAAATGAATGATTGATTGTGATTAGTATGAAATTGTTTCTTGATTATTGTGTATGGGTGATGTTTTATGGATTAGAATCTTTCTAGCTAATCGATTATATGCTCTTAATTCTGCTTTCAATCAATTGTGCGAGAGTGAGTTCGTTGAGAGCCCTAAATTATTCCATACCTTTGCTAAGCTAATTGCACGAGAGTGAATTAGTTGAGTAGGATGATTAACATGCTTAATTGTGCGAGAGTGAGTTAATGTGTTGTTGTTCCTAATCGAGATCATTTTCATCTATTTGTATGATGTTGTTTAATATATTGGTGTGATTGGATTCCACTTTCCCTAGTTTTAGTTATTTGCTCTTAGTAGTATTTGGTTTAACCTCTCTCTATCTCACAACTTTCCCTAGTAGTCTAGTTGGCACAAATTAATACACTTAGTCCTTTTGGGTTCGATCCTTTACTTGCCACTAACTAGTTTATTGTAAGTTTAGGTATTATAAATTTCTAATTTTGTTAGGGTTAGTAGACCAACGACCTACTTCTATCCGCGATCAAATTTTGGCGCCATTGTCGGGGACTAAGGTGTTTCGGGGGTTTTTGTCCCTTGGGAGAGTTACAATGCTGAGACTCGATTCAGCAAAGGACGCCTGTACCTGCAAAGCAAACGGACCGCCGGATGGTCGGTGGTCCGCCTCCGAAGATTAAGTTAGTAAGCGTTCGGTAGTAAAACGTGCGGAAGTAAAGTTATCTGCTCGGATTCCAAGCTCGGGTAAAGTGCTGTCTGTTCTTTGAAAATGACAACTCTGTAGTAAGTGACGTATTGTGTCGTATTGCGTGTATATTCATATATTGTCATAAATGTAAGAATGTCCCTATTTATAGGGTCTTTTTGGAAGGTGTGCCCTCCCTAGGATCTGGTGACCTAGGGATTAGGTCACGCCGCAAAACGGCGCCTCAAGGTTTGGGCCCTTGAAGGCCGCCATTGTAGAGGCAATGCCTGAATGACACGTGTCACTGAGCCCAAAAGGCCTTTGGGCATCTTTTTGGGTGACACGCGTCGCCCTCTAATTGGTCCATGCTGGATCATCAGTTTGTTTAGGGTAGAGGAATGTCTGCCCTCCACGTGTCATCATCTCATAGGTCCAAATGGCACCTTTATTGAGGACACGTGGCGTTATTTGATGGGATGGTTAAGAGATTATCTTTCTGATTTGGCCACCTGGCCGGGTAAAAATACCCAAATCATTTGCCCCTCACAGGGGTCACGTGCATTGCACGTGGCACCTGTGACAGGTGTCTTCATATGACTGGGTGGATTTTCAAATTGCTTTTGGGGGGAAAAAATAGGGTTTGCCCTTTCTATAAATAGGAGGGTTTGACTTCATTTTCGTTTTCACACCTTTGCGAATCTTGGAGAATCTCTAGACTTTTGACTCTCAAAGACTCTTAAAGACCCTAACTTTTGTCAAGCATCCGACACTCTGCTTTTCTGAACGACTGCTTCAGCCAACCAGGCGCCTCAAATACCTTCTTCTAAGGTAACCGCATGCTCTTTTCTGTTATTTTTTCTTGCGTTTTTCATTTATTCAAATGGTTTCCCAAACGTACACGGCACGACCTAGGTTAGCGATCAGCCGGTCACCGGGGACGGCTGAATCTAGAACTAGGAGTGCCGAATGCTCGTTCGAGAACTTTCCTTTAAGTACATCTCCAAATCCGACATTGTTTGTGCATCTGCAGGACACGATGGCTCGAACAAAGCAGACAACAAGGAGATATAGGTCGGATGGTTCCTTTTACCATTCGGACAGTGAGGCTCCAAATTCAGACGGCTCCATTAGGGTGTCAGCTAGTTAGATTTCTGAGCACCCCCCAAACCCTTCTTCTGACCTTCCCCAAACTCCAATTTACTACTCTCCCTCTTCTTCAAGCGGCACCCCCAACGATACTATACTGCGGGAAGCCGACAGTCAGTATCAGACCGAGCCTTCAGAACAGACGTCGGAGGAGAGTCTAGGGGAGGACCCTGCTGGCCCTAGCCGGCAGTCCCCTAGTTCTGGGGAAATCTCTGATGACAATTCGGCCTCGTCATCTTCTGATAGCGCCTCTGTTAAGTTAGAGGAAGTCCGAGCAAAAATAGATACTACAAGGGAGTCCTTGTCAGTAGAAAAGGGGGAAGGCTGGGCGGAGCCGAGTGCTTCCAGGCGCTTGGAGCGCGCCCCCTACTATCACCATGTTCCGCAAAGCAAGCGGACCTCGATGACATCCAGTCTTACCAATTTCAGGCGCAAGACCGTAATGGGGCATGGCTTCTCCTTGTCCGTCACCAACAAGGAGGATACTATAACCTGGCCCTCCCTGGCCGGTTATAAGGACAAAGCCTTCGGCTGCTACGAGGCGGTCCTTCACGCTGGTTTACGCTTTCCTCTCCATCCGGTCGTAGAGAGGATATGGACGGATACCAACTGGGTATCTGGCGACTTGTCCCGAATTCATGGATAAATATCATCGGGTACGTTGCCGCCTGTGAAATGCTGGAGGTGGATCTCAAATTTGAGGCATTCGCTCATATGCACTATCTCAGCCGAGCGCCTGCGAAGGGCGGCGAAGGCTGGTATACCTTGTCCACCTGCAAGGGGTACATGATGGCAGTCGGCAAAGAGAACAAATGGAAGGACTGGAGAAAAAGTTCTACATTGTCCATTCCTCTGAAAGCCGAAAGAACCAAAAAATACAATCGGTGGATCATGGATCCGCCCCTCCTGGCTGGCAAGAGTGCCTTGCCCCCTCCCCCTAGGCGGGACTAGGAGGAAATTTTTGACCGGAGTCTGGTTAAAGTGTCCGTTCGGACAAACGGGCATGGGAAGAAAATAGTCGTCCCCCAGAGCTACATTCCCCTTTACAAGTAGCTAGAATATGGGGTGTTCTTGGCCGCTTGTGGTCTAAGCTCTGAGATGCCGAGAGGTAGTCGGCCGTCTGATTTTAAGCTAACTTTAAATTGTTTTCAGTGTATGTTTATAAAGCCTAACTCCTTCTTTTTGGTGCAGACAAAGCAATGGAAAAGCTCTCGGCAACGAAGAGGCCGGTTGCCATCTCTGCAGCTAAGTACCGCACCAACGTCCTCAACAGGGCGAGTGACGAGCAGAAAGCAGCCAGGACTCCCAAGGTAGCTGTTTATGATACTTGGTATATTTTTTCAATAGAGGTTAAATTTTGCCCGCCTGCTTTTCTGACGCCTTTCTTTTTGTTCAAACAGAGTGGCTCCATCAGGCCTTCTCCCTCCAAACAATCCCAACCCAAAATTCAAAAGACTGGGCGGGTGATGTGAGTGCATCCGGCAAGAACCGGAAGCACATCGCTCACAAGCCCAAGAGAGGGGACGACTCTACTCTCGAAGCTGACAGGGAGGTCAGCAAACCAGATGCCACTCAGGCATCGAAGGGTGGCTTTAAGCAACCCAGCACTGCTGTCGGCTCAGCGTGAGAGAAGAGGAGTCATGGGAAGGAGAAGGAGGAGGAGGCTCAGCCGGACGGTATGAGCCGCATCTTTATTGAATTTCAATACTTAATATTGTTTCTTGGAACTCCCTTGACTAACTTATAATTTTGCAGCTCCTGTGCAAAGGTCGACCATCGTCCAGATGGCCAAGGAGATGCTGCGGGCGCTTGATCTAGAGGAAAAGGCGTCCATAAGAGGAGTCTACGAGGTAAAAAAGTTAGCTAAATTTTGGGGAACCTCTGCGAGGTAAAAAAGTTAGCTAAATTTTCCTTAATATTTAGCACATATCCGACTGGTTTTGACCATCTGGCTTTTTCTTATTTCCGGGCCATGCTGCGCGTCCAGGGGCTAAGACGGCCAATCGAGGAAAAATCTAAAAAGGTAACAACCGCTAAAGCTCGAGCCGAGTCCGCCTTAGACCGAGCTCAATTTGAAATTGATCAGAATGAGCTTCTGACCCTTGATATGATGTATTCCCAGGCGGACGCCAACCCGAGGTGAAGAAGGACCTGGATTCGGCCCGCTCCAAAATCAATGATCTTAAGGCCAAAGTTAAAGGCCTTAAGGAAAAGCTTCAGCCTCTTCAACAGGCCAAGAAAGAGGCCGAGAGGGCCAAGGAGCGGGTTGGTCGTCTGGAGGGGAACCAGCAGCAGCAGCTGAAGGCCAAGTTCCAGTCCCGGGCCGAGGAGGAGAAGCAGGCCCTTGTCAAACAAATGATGGAAGACTACGAATCCATCATGCTGACGGCATGGGAGGCGGTACAGCCAGGTGCTGATTTTAGCATTTGGAAATCTAAGTTTGATCAAGCAAACGAGGATTTCAATGTTGAACTCCTTCGCCATGCTGAAGATGAGGCGAACAAGGATGAAGCTGATGGTGAAGAGGCCGACTCCTCTTCAGGCTCCTCTGAGGACGAAGACGGGGAAGAGGAGAATGATGAAAATGAAGAGCATCCGACAGCTGATGATGTGGCTGCCAATGCTGATGATCCCTCTGCCCTCTAAAGCGTTTTAGTAGTTATTTCAGCGGCCGAATGGCCATACATTAATCTTCCGGCCTGCGTGCCGAGTATCCTGTATCTTTACCGACCGAGGGGTCGGGTAATTTGACAATTTATCTGGCGTGGCCAGCAAACAATCTTACCCAATCGTCTGGTGACGATTGGTTCTTTTAATCTAAATTCATTCGGCCATTTGGCTGAAGATATTCATATTGTTGTTCTTTAAATTTTTTCATTGCATGTTTTTTTGGCCAAGTATTATAACCTGTATACCATGCGAATGTTCTTGCCCCTGGACGGATGTCGAGTGGTTTCGGATGAGTGGATTGATTGACTTAGAAATTATTGATACTTAAAAGAGTATGCATGGTTTCTAAGTCAATCAATCACTATGGTGATTTCCCCAAACCACGCGACAGACGGCCATCCGGAGCGAATGAATAATTATTTTCATTCGGCCATTGGCTCAAACGAAATACAAGATCTTTGACTTAGCAAATTTGCTAAAAAGAAATCCCTTGCCTGTTTTGTTCCAAGAACTAAAAGCAGGCGCAACCGGCCTACGGCCTCGACGAGATAAGATGCTAAGTTTTAACTTAGTCATAATTTTAGAATAATCCGCCTGTCTTGCCCCAAGAGCAAAGAGCAGGCGCATTCGACCCACAAGTCTCTTTTTTTAATCTGCTAAGTATTTTAGCTCGTTTTCTTGGTAAGTAATAGTCCGCCTGTCCTGCGTTTGGGCTAAAACAGGCGTATCTGGCCAAGGGCCTCATTAGTTGTAAATCAGTAAAACATTTCCGCCTGTCTTGCACCAGAGCAAAAACAGGCGCACCCGGCCTAATGCCTCAATAGCCTCTATTTATGACACAGTGACCCTTTTCCGACAGAGCAAGAACAGTTAGAAAATTCTAGCCTTTAAGATTTCACTTTCGATTAAACCAAACGACTGCGAATGCTGCCTAAGCATTTGGTAGGGCCGCTTGGTGTATTTGTAGAGCAATGTTCCATCCAAATGGGAGATGCTTCTCCTCGACGAATTTGCCCGAATGGACGTCGTCGGTTATCTGACTCATGTTGGAGCAGACGGTCATACTCATGTTGGAGTAGAATGTGACCATTCGGCCTCTATATATTTTTCCTAATATCCGGCCATTAGCCTCAAAATGATTTTATCTGGCCTTAGGCCTTTTAAAGATTTAAGCATATATTCGTTAAGTGTTGGCATAATACTTAAAGAACTCCGTAGAAACGACTGCTCTAAAGTAGTCGGCTCCTTCAGGGGGTTGGGGCTTCTGTTATTGGGACAGACGCTATCCAAATACATTGGCCGTCTGTATTTTGTACAGGTGACACTAATAAAAAGACAAGTTGAAAATGAAGGCATACTCTCATTAGAAAACTTTGAAATGACAAAATTTGAGGTATTTACATTCGTACTTAGAAATAGTACTTTTTCAAGTTGTCTACATTCCAAGTTCTAGGCAGCTTCCTGCCGTCTGGTTCTTCCAGGCGGTAGGTGTCGTCTCTTACTTCCTCATATATTCGGTAAGGGCCTTCCCAATTTGGGGTTAACTTTCCCTGCTCATTCGCCCTACCGACTGCCTCCATTTTCCGTAGCACAAAGTCCCCCACTTTGAGAGGACGCTTGTGTACTCTTTTGTTGTAAGCCCGTGTCATTCTCAGACCGTAAATCTCATGGCGCAAGGCAGCATTGCCCCTGCGCTCTGGAAGTGAGTCCAATGCCAGCCGCATGGCCTCCCAGTTAGCTTCTTTGTCATATAACATGACTCGAAGAGTCGGCTCATAGTGTTCAATGGGAAGGACAGCTTCTGCACCATACACCATGAGGAACGGGGTTTCTCCACTCGCCCCTTTAGCAGTCGTTCTGATGAACCAGAGGACGTGTGGTAATTCATCCGCCCAAAGACCACCAGCCCGTTCAATTTTCTTTTTAATCCCGTCTGAGATTAGCTTGTTGAAGGCTTCAACCTGGCCGTTTGCTTAGGGCCGGCCGACTGATGCAAAGAGGCTTGAGACCCCTTGTTCTCCCAACCAAGTCTTGAGTTGAGACGTCTCAAATTGAGGACCATTGTCAAAAACCATAGACATGGGCACCCCAAAGCGAGTGATAATATTCCTCCAGATGAAGGAAAAGACGTCTTTTGTCTTGATGTTTTTGACCGCCTCCGCCTCTACCCACTTGGTAAAGTAATCCACAACTACCAATATGTAGCGCTTGCCGCCTGGGGCCGCGGTGTAAGGCCCAAGTATGTCCATGCCCCAATTGGCAAAGGGTATTGGGTTGTGGATGGCCGTCAGGTCTGTGGCCGAACGATGGATGAGCTACCCATACTTTTGACACTTGTCACACTTTTTGACCATTCCCATAGCATCCGACTCCAGAGTGGGCCAAAAATAGAGCCGCCTGGACTTGGCAGCTAAAGACCTGCCGCCTATATGGGAGGTGCAGAAACCCGCATGCAAATCTTCGAGGACCTCTTTACCCTTTTCTGGGGTAACACACATCAATAGGGGTTTCAAGAAACCAGCTTTGAAGAGTTCTCCTTGTCTCAGCTCGAAGTTTGTCGCTTTCTTCTTCAGAACAGTCGCCTCTTGAGGTGAATCAGGGAGCGTGCCGTCTGTAAGATAAGCCCGGATGCTGTCCATCTAGGTAGAGCTTCGGTCGAGAATTCCAATGGGGTCTTCATTAGATATACTTTTCTTTTCCATGACCTCCTAGAAGACCGACCGAGGCGTTTCACAAGAGGCGGATGATGCTAGTTTTGACAGAGCATCCGCCTGATTATTTGAAGTCCTGGGCACCTGAGTTAACTGAAACTCCTCAAGTGTACCAACTTCGTTTTTGACCGCCTGAAAATATTTTATCATGGCCAGATGAGTAGCCTCGTACGTTCCATTAACCTGGAGTACGACTAGTTGAGAATCAGAGCAGGCGGCTATCTTCTTTGCCCCTACCGCATTGTAGTATCGAATGTCGGCCAGTAGGGCCTCATACTCGGCCTCATTGTTAGAGACCTGGAACTTGAACCGCAGTGCATGTTCGTACTTATCTCCCTCAGGAGATTGGCAGATAATTCCTGCACCACAGCCGTTCACATTGGAGCTCCCATCCACAAACACTTTCCAAACCTGGTCAGTATTATCCGGTACAACCGGCCTTGTCATTTCGACAATAAAGTCGGCGAATGTTTGCCCCTTTATTGCCTTCATAGGTTCGTAAGTGATCTCTAATCCTTGCATTTCAATTGCCTATTTAAGCATTCGTCCAGAAGACTCCAAGGTTGTGAGTGGCCGCTTGATCGGTTGGTCAGTATAGACCTCTACCGCATGCGCCAAGAAGTAGGGTTTTAGCTTCTTGATAGCCATATAAAGGGCAAGGCCGAATTTCTCAACCATGGGGTACCGAAGCTCCGCGTTCCTCGGAACATGGCTAATGAAATACACTGGGAGATGGATGCCGTCTCTTTCAGCTAAGAGAACGGAACTGAGGGCATGATCAGAGACGGCTAAGTACATGAAGAGCTTCTCTTTGGGCAAAGGGCTGACAAGCCTTGGCAATGAGTGCAAATGATTTTTCAGCTTTTGAAAGGCAACCTCTGCATCATCCCCCCTTTCAAAGTTGGTCTTCTTTTTTATTGCCTTGAAGAAGTAGAGACACTTGTCGCCTGACCGACTGAGGAATCTCCCCAAGGCCGCCAGACAACCTGTTAGCTTTTGCACTTCCTTCATAGTACGGGGCGACTTCATGTCGATTACCGCCTGTATTTTCTCAGGGTTGGCCTCTATTCCCCTTTGGTCAATCAAAAATCCGAGAAACTTCCCAGACTCAACGCCAAAGACACACTTTTTTGGGTTTAGCATGACCTTGTGCCGCCTGAGTGTGGCGAATATTTCTCGGAGATCAGCAAGATGATCCGCCTGTTGTTTGGATTTGACTATCATGTCATCAATGTATGCCTCTACATTCCTTCCGATTTGATTAATGAAGACCGTATTAATCATTCGTTGGAAAGTAGCAGGCGCGTTCTTTAAACCAAACGGCATCACAGTATAACAAAACAACCCTGATCAGTGACGAATGCCGTCTTTTCTTGATCTTTTTTCCACAGGGGGATCTGATGGAAACCTGAATAGGCGTCCATAAAACTCATCAGGGCATGTTCGGATGTTGAATCGACCAGGCTGTCGATCTTAGGCAATGGATAACTATCCTTTGGACATGCCTTGTTAAGGTCTGTGTAGTCAACACACATCCGCCAAGTTCCATTCGGCTTCTTTACTAACACAACGTTAGCTACCCATTCAGGGAAATTACATGGCCGAATGAACTTGGTGTCCAGCAGCTTTTTAACTTCGGCTGCTGCCGCCTGAATTCTTTCCTCGCCATGGTTTCTTTTCTTTTGCCTAATGGGCTTCTTTTTGGGATCCACGGTGAGTTTGTGGACAGCAAGATCCAGGCTTATGCTTGGCATCTCCTCCACTTCAAAGGCAAAGATGTCTTTGAATTCTGTCAACAGCTGGTGAAGGCTTTCACCCAGCTTTTCAAATGCAACCGTCCCCACCTTAACCGTCCGCTCTGGACGGCTCTCGTCCAGAGGGATATCGATGTGTTCACCAGCAGGCTGGGGACGGAGATCATCCGACCGTTCCCCGGTCAGTGATTGCTATTGATTTTCTTTTTTGACCACCACCAGCTGATCAGTCTTTCTTTTCTTTCTGGCTGGTGGGGCCGACTGTTCTTCCTCGACATCGTCAAAGTCGATCGTTTGTTTGTCCCTTCCGGATGCTACGGCCGCGGGCTTAACGTCCAAGAGATAACACTCTCGAGCCGTCTTTTGGTCCCCATTAAGGGAACCGACTGTTCCATTATCCTTCTCATACTTGAGTAGCATGAGTGCAGGAATGATGACGGCCTTACACTCATTAAGAGTGGGACGGCCAAAGATGAGGTTGTAAGCTGTGAGCTCTTCAACCACTAGGAAA